TTTAAATGATTTATGGACTGCTTGTCGTCTAAATTAATTGATTAATTATTAATCAGCTCCATTTTTTATTTACTTTTTTCTTCTGCAGTTAGGTATTGTCATCAGGGCAGCAACATCTAGTCATATTCCTCAAACAAATTTTATTCTGATAGCAATGGCAAGCACGGGGATCTTACTTTTAGGATGGCGAGCTTTAGCATGCAAACTTCTTTCTCTAAAAAGCAATAAAAATGATGTCTATAAGCGTGGCAGCCCTTTTGAGCTATTTGAAGTAAGTTGCTGATAGATCATATCTTCTGAAATCTAATTTTACTAAAGCTTTTTGATGTTTTAATTGCTTAAGAGTGCTTCGTATGGAGCTGCTCGCTATTCTATCATTTGTACCATACTTTCCTGCAATTTTTCCCTTAATGGAACAAAATCTCGATAATTGGTAGTTTAAATTTTGTTTAACAATCTAAAGATAAAACTCTTTCTGGGCTTTTAGGATGGCGAGCTTTAGCATGCAAACAAATTTTTTTGAGCCTTTAGTATTGTCACGGTTGTAGTTGTTCGGCATGACGCTCCACATGTGTTGCTCGTATTCATCTATTTCATTATATTTTTCTCTTCAACTAATTGCGCTAATTCCATAGTTTCCCCAATTCTCGTTGTCTCAACAGATGAAGTGATGCTTAGATGTGTGGCTTCAACCCTTTCATGAAGTTGACTTCCAACACTTCTTTTGATATCCCTTTCAAATGACCGGATAGTATCTCAAATTTCTCTCTATACTTCACGATGAACCCTTTTTAAACCGGTGCAAAAAAACAGCTCATGTAAATCTCCTTCCTGAATGACTTGGAAATGTTTCCTCGATAAACTCTTAAATTAATCCCATGAGTAGATCGTGTATCTAGCCTCCCTCCATTGAAACCAAGCTAGGGCTTTCCCCTTCAAATATAAACCTGCTTTCATACGCTTCTCCTCCCCATTCAGCCCATTCACCACAAAATATCGCTCCACCTGGTACATTCGCCCATATGTGTCTTCCCCCTTGAAGATCGGTATCTTCAACTTCCTAACCCTAGCATCTCCACCTCAACT